TTTGCACATGTGTCTTTAATCTCTATGTATCTGATGATTACTAGTCACAGTCGGTTACACTCTGATCCTTAGTGCCTGAGTATGGATATAAAGTCATCAGGTAGATTTCACTGGTAATGTTTATCACCTCTACTATTTAACATGGATCTTTTTAAGAAACACTTTTCTTTTTTTTTAAATTTTATATGTATGGGTATATTGCCTGCATGTATGTAAGTGTACCCGTCTCATGCAATGCCCTTGGAGGCCAGAACAGTGTGTCAGATCACCCTGGAACTGGAGTTATGGATAGTTGTTAGCTACCATGTGGGTGCTGGAAATTGAACCCAGGTCCTTTGTAAAAGCAACCAGTACTCTTAGTGGTTGAGCCATCTCTCCAGCTCCAAAAAGTACTTCTTCTTTTTTTTTTGAGACATGGTCTCCCTGTAGTCTCAGCTGGCCTGGAACTCACTATGTAGATCAGGCTGGCCTCGAGCTCACAGAGATCTGCCTGCCTCTGCCTCCCAAGTGCTGGGATTAAAGGCGTGCGCCACCAAGCCCAGCCCCAAAAAACACTTCTTAAGAAGACACCAGAGGCAGAGGGATCTCTGAGTTCCAGGGCACCAAGGCTATATAAAAAACCCACTTCAAATGTTCCCTAGAGCCACTGTTGAATTTTGTCATATATGGTATCACATAAATTTTGCTCATTTCCAACAACATGGGGAAATGCTAAGCTTGAAGTTCTGCCTGGTTACTAGCAGTGGTTCTGATTTTGCAGAAATAAGTTTGAGACGAAGTCCTCGAATCAAGCAGTTGTCATTTAGCAGAACAAATTCTGGATCCTTCTATTCTGCATCTCAGCCAAAGTCTCGAAGTGTACAAAGAGTCCACTCATTCCAGTGGAAATCAGGTAACTGATCCATCTGTTAAGTACAAGTCAGTGCTGACTTGGATGTGTTTTGGGGAAAGGAAGCATGCAATTTTACATTTTCCTGATTTTTTTTTTAATATTTCATTTATTATTTTTTATTTTAAGTGTATGAATGTATTGTCTGCATGCATGTGAATGCACCCGTGTCATGCTGTGCCGTGGAGGTCAGAAGAGGGCTTTAGATTCCCCTGGAACTGGAGTTAAGGACGGTTTATAGCTACCATATGGGTGCTGGGAACCGAACCTGGGTCCTCTGCAAGAGCAGTCAGTGCTCTTAACTGCTGAGCCATCTCTCCAGCACCTTAATTTTAATTTTTTAAGTCTATGAGTATATTGCCTACATATATGTAAGTACATCTATGTCATGCAGTGCCCACAGAGGTCAGAAGAGTCAGATCCTCTGGAACTGGAGTTATGGACAATTGTTAGCTGCCATGTGGTGTTGGGAACTGAACTCAGCAGCCAGTGTTCTTAACCACTGAATCATCTCTCCAGCCCCCCTGACATTGAGAAGAATACTAAGTATGAATAGTGAATGTTCAAGGTGATGACTAAATGAACAATCCTTAGTCTCTAAATCAGTCATCCCTTTGATTCCTACAACTGATCATCCATACGACTGTTGTGGGTAGCTAGCTCATTCAGTCACAGATACAAATATCCCAGGTAGAGGGTGGGTGAATCCTGTTTGTGTGTACTTCATTCTTTTATCCATAAATGCATACTTGAAAATAGATATATTTTACATTTATACTAAAAAAATACATATATTATATTTAAATTATCTCAGTTGCCTGCGTTTCCTAACATAGGACCTAAGGTTAATATGCAGTCTCATTAAAGTCCAGGCTGGGAGCAATCATTGCAGTTGTACCCATAATTAGGTGGGGTTCCTCCTCCACCAAGTGTTTTAAAGTTGTCTTTCTTGTTTTAATATTATTGGGAAAGAATTGAGAAAGAATTAAATGTTCATTTTTTCTTGCAGACCAAAGAGAAAATTCTCCAGTCCAAAGTGTTCAGTCTCCCAAAACTCTTCTTTTTGGGGCACTATCTGAGATGATCAGTCCTTCAGAGAAGGGTTCAGCCCGAATTAGAAGGTCCTCAAGAAGCATGTTGGGTTCTGAGACACCTACAGCTTACCAGGTATAAAATTCCTCTAATGTTTAAAATGGTGCAATCTTGGGGACATAGAGACAGACTGAGGAAGCAGGTGATCTATAGAAAGTAAGAAGTCTGAGGTGGCTGCATCAAGCCACATGAGTGGTTGCTGAGCACCTAAGAGCTGAAAGTAGCAGGTCTGGGTGAGGCCATGACAGTGAGGAGATAGAGGTGGTCTTCACTGCTCCCTTGGCTTCGTCTACCATCCACATTATCACTATAGAGGTCTTTCTTCAGTCTATACCTTCTTCCATCCAATCCCATTTGACTGCCCATTACTGTTGTTTGAAACCTAGGAGTACTTCACTTCTCTCTTAGACAAAGCCACTTAGCTAAGTCCTGCCTGTCTTATTTATAGACTTTTGTACTCAACCTACCTATCCATCCCTGTAGTTTGTACCCTATTCAGTTCTACCTGGAACATTTCATCAGCCTTTCCTCTCTCAAATCCATCCTTTACTCCAGGCAAAGTGACCTTTCTGAAATGTCCATCTGACTTTGCTAAAGTAAAGTTTCCTAACTTTTCCTCAGATGTAGCCCTTGTGTTCAGAAATGGTAATCTTGGTTCGAAAACCAGTGAAACTGCTTAGTGGTTGAAGGAGGACACAGAGCTACATGCCCATAGTCAGTCTCCTCTCTAGGGCAAGCAAAGTCCTCCATGTTCACCCTGGGTCCACCATTCCTTCCTGGCTGGCTTTAGCCCTCCCTGCTGATTTGATGCTTCTCAGCAGCATCGGGCTATGCCCCACACAGCTGCTGTTCTTCACATTCTGCTTTTGCTTGTATTGGTTTCTGTACATAAAATCTTCTCTGCCCTACTTTTCTAGTCTCTCCCTTCCCTTGAGGATATCCAGTCTTTTTTTATTATTTATTATTGTGTATGTACGTGTATGTGATGTGTATGTGTGGGCATGCATATGCCATGGTGCATGTATGAAGATCAGGACAGCTTTATGGAGTCAATTTGCTCCATCTACTTTTATGTGAGATCTGGGGTTGAACTCAGGTCACCAGGCTTGACCTTTACCTGTTGAGCCATCCTGTCAGCTTGGGCATCCATTCTTGAGTATGTGATTCATTAGTCACTCCTTTGTGCTCTTGACATGTCCCTGTCATACCTCACTGAACACGAAACACCAGTAAGATTGGGCTGCCCTTGACAGTCCACTAAGGTTGTAGAAAGATGAAGAAGGAAGGAAATTTTCTGTTGGAACTGGCTTTTCTAGTTGGTCACTGTTGCTATGCCTAATATATTTCTATACCCATGCCCCTTCCTACCCTCACCTACTTCTGATGCATGCACACAGTTCTTAGTCCAAAAAAAAAATCAGTAAAACCTGAGTAATGTTTGGGGGAAAGAAACAGGTCACTATTTCAAATTTCCAACTTAAGGTCATTCTTTTGGCTAACTTTAGATCTCCTGTTTGGTTTATAATCATTTTAGAGACTACTAAGACATTCTTTAGAAAATGTGAATTATAGTATTCAAGCAATGAAATAAGCATTTTTCTTTTCAGACTCCCAAAAAGAGATACCTGAAATCTCCAAGCTTTCCTAAAACTACACCAAGGAGGTTCCCTCGTACACCACAGAACCTGCTGTTCACTCCAGAAAGACCACAAAACCCCCTTGCTGAAATGACACCAACTGAACGAGCCATTTCTGAGACATCTTTAAAAAAACCCTCTTTACACAGTTACAGCTCACCATTGGCATCAAAAATCACTTTTCAAAAAGGAGCCAACCCAGCAAAAGAAGGGGTCTCTCTTTTCATGGAGCTACCCAGAACTCCCAGGAGACCAGGTGCTCAGCCACCTGGGTTTTTATCAAACTCTGCATGGCCACACCCAGTGAATTCCAGTCCAGAAAGCCCTTGCTGTCCAGCATTCCCACCTCCTTTGACCGCCCAGCCCAGGAGTGAGTGTCTGAGCCCCACCAGATACTCCTTCAGAACACCGCCAAGGACAGCAGCCCTCACAGGCACACCTGAGAATCAGAAGCACCAACAACTCTGTCTCCCCAGGGCTTTTCAGGCACAGAAACCAGCAGACAAACTACAGGATGAAGCTGTCAAAACCCCAAAGAAACCAGAAGCTACAATTACTGCTTCCCTACCTCTTTCTCCAAAGCAACAATTTACTTTACCAGTGTGTGATGTTTCCCAGAGTCAGCTTAGGAAATCGTTGTCAGCGTCTCCTTCCCTTGGAGAACTGGTTTGGAAAGAGCCCCAAATTTCAACCACTATAGCTACATCTGTCTTCTGTTCTGTTCCCTCAACTCCTCCCAGAATCTCACAGAGAGTGACCTGCAACCCCATCCCCCCTTCTCCACCATCTAAGCTTGGGAGACTGTACAGAAAGACATCCAGTCCTCCTCAAGGCTTCCCCAAATGCCAGTCTAGACTCTCTGCTGTGCCAGGGCTGGACATAGCTGCCAGCCCAGTGGCCATTACAGGCTCTAAAGAGGGCCAATCTCAATCTTCTGAAGGACAGAATTACCTGGGCACTGGTTTCAGGAGTGACTGGCACACATCCTCTCCTGTGCTCATTGCAAGTGACACAGAGTACCTTACTCTGCTTGATGAAGCCAAATACTCTGGCCTTGAGAGCCATGAGGTGCAAAGTGGCATCTTCCCAGGGGAAAAAGGTGAGGAGCCAAAGACCACTGTTGCCCATGAGCCTGTGTCTGACTCTGGGGTTCTTCCACCTGCCTCTTCTTCCTTGTCCAGCTCTCCTGAGGTACCCTATACCCTGATCTGTACTGCAGACAGAAGGCAGACCCAGGCTGTGAAGCAGGAAAGCCTGCAAGCTTCAGAGGTTGCTTGCAGTCCTCAGACCTATGAAGTTGAGCTAGAGATGCAATCGTCTGGCCTTCCCAAGCTCCGAATTAAGAAGATAGACCCTGAAACTTTTTTGGAAGCTGAGCCCCTAGGAAAGGAGAGCCCTCTGGGAGAGGGGAGCTCCCTCCCTGCTCTCAGCGTATTCAAGGCCAGTAGGTCTTCCAGTAGAGCTGAGCATACCTACTTATCACCCCCCTGCCTCCACCCCTCGCACAGCACACCTGGCAAGAATGGGGGGCAAACCTACATCTGCCAGTCCTGTACCCCATCCCACTGCCCATCCAGTACCCCTTCTCCATTTCAAGCAGATGTTGGGGTTCCTTGGACACCATCCCCCAAGCAGAGTGGGAAAACCACTCCTGATACCATTAAAGACTGGCCCCGTAGAAAGAGGGCTGTAGACTGCAGTGCTGGGCCCTCTGCTGGGAAAGGAGAGGCCTGTACGGACTTTCTAGGGACTTTATCACTGCTTGAGCCTGAGCCAGAGGGAAAGGAGCAAAGCCTTGAACGTGACCTCCATAAGACTCTTATCTTGGAAGATTTTGAGCTTGAGGGGGTATGTCAGTTGCCAGACCAGTCACCTCCCAAGGACAGTGTATCTAAGACTGAGGAGCCCTTCTCCTGGGGACAGTTTGGGTTGGGCTCCAGGAAGAGACTCCTATCTGCCGAGGAAGAAGCTGAGTACAAATCCAAAAGGATCTATGATTCCCTGAGTGAAGACTCCGAAGCTAGCAAGCATGAAGAGAGGTCTCCACGTTGGAATGTGCCACCACTCCCCTCTGTAGGGGATGACGAGGTGTTTGTTTCTGGTGAGTTTATTTTTCAAATCCACGTGTTATTATGGTTTATACTGGGCAGAGTGTTGGGTGAGGAGGCATTTGGAGCTCTGGGAGGCCTGAAGTCCTGTGGGTCTACACTTATATCTTCCCATGTGGCATCTCCTTAGGTTCCTCCCCACCCTCTGGCTGTATGGTACGAAGCTGCCTCTCTGCCAGTAGTCTGCAGGCCCTGACCCAGTCTCCACTGCTTTTCCAGGGAAGGACACCTTCCTCTCAGTGCAAGGACAACAGAGGTAATGTGTCTGCTAAAGGTCCCAGACACTTAGCAGGGCTGAGTTCTCTCCTGTGGGTAACTTGCAGAATTCCCTTGAGGGTTTGGAGTGTGGGGAGATGGCTTTGAGCCTGCAATATCACATGCCCTTTCCAGAGAGGCTCCATATCAAACTTGTAGGCATCTGAACAGAACTCCCTGCAAGATTCTGCCAAACTAATTCAGTCTAATTGAAGATATGTAAGTGGTATACACACTGGGTTAGTGCTTGTTTGTGCTCTTGGGTCTTAGACTCTAAGCAGGGAAGTATCTTGCAGCGCAAGTGACACATATGTTCAGAGCCAGCCATTTCTACTTGGTGGATTTATATTCACAGTTCCTTCCCATTCAGGACTAAAAAGTCCTGACTGGTGTCATCATTAGCCACAGGCCCTAGGTTTCCCTGTCTTTCAAAACCATGTCAGCCATGCAAAATAACATAAATCCCACAGATCTGAGACTGAAAAGGGGAAAAAAGCATTGCGTGGGAATGCAAATACTAATACTTTGGATGTGCATTATACACTTATCCCTGTTAGCAGATGCATAGCCTTTAAGAGTAAAGCCCTTTGTCCTAGTTTTTCTCTTCATTGCTGTGACAAAATACTCTGACCAATACCAACTTTGGGAGGAAAGGGTTTATTTGTCTTACATCTCCCAGGTCATAGTTCATCAGAGAGCCCAAGGTAGGAACTCAGGGCAGGAACCTGGAGGCAGGAGCTGGAGCACAGGCCATGGAGGAACGCTGCTTACTGGCTTGCTCCCCTGGCCCCTGCTCAGCCTGCTTTTTTATACAACACAGGCCCATCTGCCCAGGGGTGGTACCACCCACAGTGGGCTGAGCCCTCCCACATTACTCATCAAGAAGATGCCCCTCAGACATGGCCACAGGCCAATCCAATAGAGGCAATTCCCCAATTGAGGCTCCCTCAACCCAGGTGTGTCAAGGTGACACTAAAGCTATCCAGCACAGGGCCTTATTACCAGTGTAAGTTGTGTTGCTGCAGGATGGAACACACCTCACAGCGTTGCTTTTCCCAAGTCCACTCATGTGTGATCTTCTGCAGTCAGAGCCTGCTGTCTTTTGTTTAGTGCTCATCACTTCTCTGCCTTTTCCTAGATGAGGATGTGGATGTATTTCCCTCCAATACTGAAGAGTCTCCTTTCAGCCAAGCTTTCCCCCGGAGGCGGCCCTTCAGAACTTATACACGGAAGAAGCTCATTAGCTAGTCCAGGTGGAACACGGCTGGAGGACTCAGAATTATGAGCACTACAAGCCTGGCCAGCTCCCCTGCATTCCTGGAGAGGTGTTCCACAGTGGCGTTCTCTGGACGTGGATGCAATGCCAGACTTGCACCATCAATGCCAGCAGTGTGCGCAGGAGTGGCCAGGACTTAATGGAACTGAGAAAGTTCAGAAGTGAAAGCTAAGGCCAGGTCCCCTGTGGGCTTAAAGAAATTGGGGGACTTTGCTGGGCGTAGTGATGCATGCCCGTAATCCCTGCATTTGGGAGGCAAAGAGGATCAGGAATTTAAGGTCATCTTCTCATGGACTCCATCAGGCTCTGCCCCTTGTTGGTGGAGGTCAGGAGTGGGGTAGGTAGCTTATGTATAACTTTTGCAGGTTGGGAGTCTAGACACTAAGCAAGGAACCCATTCCATACCTCTTTGCCATGACCTTGGCAATTCAGAGGACCACTGCCTCTATTGTGAACTGGAAAAAAGTACCTTTGACAGTCCTTTAAGTCCTTTGACAGTCTTTCATGAGCAGTGCTTCATAAACTAAGCCTCATACATGAAAGATTGCAGCAGGCAGCTATTTAATAAAATCAACTCTGGCTACTTAGCTTTCAGTGCTTTTCTGTTTTAATATTCCTGCTTGGGAATAACTAACCTTGGTCCAGAGTGACCACATTGCAAGGTCTGCCCTGAGAGCCAGGTAGCTCATGGACAGACCTAGCCTATGCCTGAGGAGACCATCACCTGGCATGTGCTTGCCCCTAGAGTAGGGTGTTAGCCACTGTGGAGTCTTGCTGGCTCTCAGTGAGGGCTCTTTCAATGTCTTCTCAATCTCAGCCTGTTGTGCTCCCAGACCTCATTCTTCCTGTTATCAAATTCTAAGTGAAAACTCCCATTTGTATTTTTCAGAGATATGTTAGCTTTCTGTGATTAAGGTAAACAACCAAAAAGGAGGAAAAAGGCAGGCCTGGAGACAGGTCAGTGGTAGTGTGCTTGCCTAACATGCATGAGGCCCTGGGTTCAATTCCCAATACCAATAATTGATGTGGGCCATGGGGGGTGGGGAGGGGACTTTAAATTGGCTCAGGGTTTCACAGGCTTCATGGCCATTTGGCCCTGTCTTGGGGCCTGTGCACAAGCAGAGAGGCTCTAGGAAGCAGAGAGGAAGGAAGGACTCCCAATATCACCTTCAAGGACATTCCCCAATAACCTAACTTCCACTAGACCCCGTACTCCAAAACACTCCTTGTCTCCCAGCAGCACCATCAGCTGGGAACCAACCTTCACATGAATCCTTGAGAAACACTTAAGGTATAAACCATAATGAGATTATTCTTATTTATTCTGAAATATTTTTTAAATTCTAAAAATGTTAATAACTCCCAGTTTTCTCATCTACATAAGACCATGAAACCACAGCCATGTTGCTAACTGACCATTTTGTGACAACCTGTAGATGAACCCAGAACTATGGGCACAGACTTTTGCTTAAAGCCAGAATTGTCCCACAAATGAAAAGGCAGAAGGCAGTCAGGTACTACAGCTTGCATAAAGTGGGTAGTAGGAATTTGCATATTAAAAAAACAGTGCTGGGGTATAGCTTAGTGGTAGAGTGCAGTGCTTACCGTGCACTAAGGCCCTGGATTTGGTCCCTAGTACCATAAGGGGGGAAAGTTACAGCTGTGGCCCAAATTTGCTAATTCCAATTGTAAAGGTGAGGCTCTGGATTTCCGGTGAGGTAAGACCTTCATAGAGGTGAGTCAGGCAGCTTCTCCTTTGAGCAGGATAGGATAAGAATCTCTAAGACAGTGCCTGCCCCAAGGCCTACAAAGGGTTTTTCCGGACATCGATCATCCCTGGGCTGGCTCTTCGGGATTCCCACCGGGGCTTGGGCAATGGTCCAAAGTTCCAGGATAGGCCCACTTCACCCACAGGTAGCACCCGCCCCACTAGAGGCTCAGTTGCTTCCCGGGCCCGCAGCTCCTCAGAGGAGCCCTGCTCCTCATTGCATAGGCTTGAGCGTTTCCATGTCAGGGGTAGAGGGGCATGGACCAAGTCCCGGGTCTCATCCCGGACACGGGGCACCCCCTCCGGGAGGGAGGACTGCCAGAGAAGCTCAGGAGCTGCTGGGTAGAGCCCATCTTCATTTCCAGGACCCAGTCTGTTCTCTATGCAGAGGCTTCTCCTCTCACCACCTGTCACAGGACACATGTCAGACATGAAGGTGGACATAGGTGTCCCAAAATCTAGCCTCTCAGTGCCCCAGCACAATAAGCACCTTGAGAAATGAGCCAGTAAAAGTAAATGGGAGGCATCTGGGTGTGGAGGCATAAGCCTGTGAGCCCAAGATCAGGAGTTCAGGTCATCCTGGGCTATATGAGACCATGTCTCAAAACCCAAAAAATAAAATGAGCATATATATATATATATATATATATATATATATTTGGGCTAGAGACATGGCTCAGTTGTAGAACACTTGCTTAGTGTTTGCAGGCCTGGGTTCAAGTCCCAATACCACATTTAAAATTTTTATTAAAAAAAAAAAAGGCCCAAGTCAGAGTGTCTTCTAAGTGTTCCTTCCACCAAAGAAATTCCCTTCACTTGCCAGTAGGGCAGACCCAAACTGGGTGCCACAAATTACCCCGACTCTGGCCTGAGGCATTTCCCACGCTGAGCTTCTGCTTCAGCTCCTGGTTTATCCACATGTATCGGCCTAGTTCCTTCTCCAGAGCTTGAATCCGGGCCTCGTATTGCCTCTTGCTGTCTGCTAAACCCTCGCCGAGGTGGTCTAGTGTAGAAAGGCAGGGAAGAGTGGTAAGGGGCTGTGGGCAGGCAGCACCACCAGCTTGGGGCAGTCAGGGCCATGGGCAGAGCAGCACCGCGAGCTACCAGCATCCTCCACTCACCTCGACCCTGCTGGAGGAGCAGCTGCACGTTCTGTTCATGTTCCTTCTGCTGCAGGGTCAGCTGGCGGTCCATCTCCAGCTGCTGCCGCTCCAGCGCCACCTCCAGCCAGTACACCAGCTGCTGCTTCTCTTCCAGCTGCATCTCCAGCTCCGAGAAGGCAATCTGCTGCTGGTGTTGCTCCTCTCGGAGTGTTACCACCTGTCCCAAGACCAGCCAGGCTCTGCCCTAGCACAACTACCTTTCCCCAGGTTATCCTTAGCCAATTGGCAAACGGTGCCACAGCAACTCTCTATCACTAGGGAATCACTGGAGTCTTTTCTGCCTTGGACACCTCTCAACAATGAGAGTTGGCTCTCCAGATGGAACTTACCATTGCCCTGGCCAAAACCCCCTTCCAGCCACATACTACTGAGCTTCTGGGCAGATTCTAGAACTGCAGAACTGTACCCTGGCCAGGATCTCTTAACCTCAGCATGAGGCATTTGGGATGATGATTCTTGGTTGTGTGGCCTATCTGCATTACAGGACATTTAGTAGCATCCCTGACCGCTACCTCTACCACAATGGCCACCAAAAGTACCTCCAGACATATCCCTAGGAGCGAAACCATTCCCTCAAGACCCACTCATGTGGGCCAGGTCCTTCAGACCAGATGGAAAAGAAGAGAGACTGAGTCTTAGTTCACTAAGATGCTTCAGAGAGACTAGAAGTGGTCCTGACCCTGTCCTCTCATCTGGAAGAGACACACTGGAGCTGCCAGCAGACCCTCTAACAAACTACGAAGGTGGAGACAGAGTTCATGCTCATAACCTACCTTGTCAAAATACTTGCAGAGCAGGGCTCTGGTCTCTGAGGATGAGAGGTAGCTGAGCTTGGCCATGAGGTTCATTTCACACTGGGACAGCAAGGAAGCAGAGGCTCGTAGTACCCGCTGGCGGCATGTGATAGCCTCATTCTTGTACTCAATGGCAGCGTCCAGGGCCTCAATGGCTTCATCCAGCTGGAATAGTGTCCTTTCCTCCTGCAGGAACAGAGGCACACATGGAGGAAGGGTATAGACAGCAAAGTCCTGGGTAGACACACAATGGCCAACAATAGACACAACTGAGCCTTGAGCATCCCTCAACCTGAGAATGTCCTAAACACAACAGTACCCTTCTCTGGAGCAACAGGGACATTCACAGCCTGACCTAGCATGAAGGTAGCATGGCTATGAGGCTGGGTTAAGTGCCAACCCCTTCCAGGGAGCTTCGCTTAGACAACTCCAGACACCTGGCCCCCTAGAAAGCAGGACTGGGATTGCCCAAGACCCCAAAGGACCAGGGTGGGTTTATGCAGAGCAGACTTTCTCTGTTCAGATGAGCTTCTGGGGACTACATGCATGTTAAGCAGGCTCCTGACACTAGGTCCAACATACAGGTGAGATGTGTAGTTTAATACAGCTCAGCACAGGTGTCCCTGTTCCACTGAAAGTCCACAAGGCCCAAACCATATCCATCAAGGAGCTGAGGGGCCAGCCCTCTACAGTCCCACTCTACCTTGCAAGGCCTAACATACAGGGCACTTACATCCTAAAGCAGCAAAACCAGAGCCAGGGCAGGGAGCATAGGGTGGCAGAAGGACCCAGCTGGGTGGCCATTCCCTGGACGTACCTCAGGTGACAGCAGGCTACCCTGCCTCAGCTTGTTGTCAATCTCTAGGCGCTGCTTTAGCAATGAGTCCTTCTCCTGACGCAGAGTGTCTATCTCCCCTCGGATTTGCTGCTGGTTCTGGGCACTGCCCTGCCGCAACTGCCCACTCTTCTCAGAGAGCTCTTTTTCCAGGTGTTCCAGGCGGCTGGACACACGTACAATGTCCTCATTCAGGGCCTGGGACAGCACCATCAGCAATTAGAGAAGAAGGCACTGCCTTCACAGAGGGCACAGAAAAGGCCCAATCTATTCACTAGATGCTAAAGAGGATGTGGTGGGTCCTTCCCTTGCCTACCCTGCAACCCAGAAGTTTGCTCAGGGAGCAGGCCAAAGGACTAGAACCATCTGTGGAGGAGAGGGCCCAGAGGACAATCTGTGTAAGCAGAGGAAAGAGGCCCTGATGCTATAAAAGATACAAAAACATGGGCAGAGATGGCATGAGAGACGCTGTTAGTGAAGTGATTTGACTGGAGGCCATGGGAAACTCTTGGCCCTTCCAGGAGGCTGATGTGGGAGGAAATGAATGTGTCTATGGCCAAGGGAAATTAGGTCACCCAGCAACCCCTATGCCTCTAAGACCTCTTAGTGCTCTGTGATGGCAGCTACTGGTCTGAGTGTCTACAACTCTTCAGGAATCTGGCCCAAGCACATGGATTGGAACAGTCCTGGGTGTAACATAATCTCACTAATACTCTGGACTACATTCTGATCCCAACTGACAGAAGAGCAAACAGGCTCAGCAGCTGAGCTTCCTATTTAAGAGGAAGTAACCATGCTTGCCTCTTCTACTTGGCCAGACCATTTCCAATACCTGTTCCTCCTTGATCTACTCATGTAGGCAGGCCCCAAAGAGGTGGTACAAGAGGTGAAATGAGAGACTGGTACTGGTATCCCACACATTAGTTCTGGGTCATTAACAACCTAAAGCCCTAGAGTGCTGGATCCATAGATCATCCAGAGGGCAGAGCTTCCCCTGTCTGGAACTTACCTGGCAAGGACATTACTTCCAGGACCCTCACCTACCTAGAACTCACCAGGTGGTGTCTCACCTGATCAGAACCTGTGTGTGTCAGCGCCTCACCTGGCTGGACCGAAGACGCTTGCTCTCCAGTCCCGTTTTCTCCTGCATTAGAGCCTCCTTCTTGGCCAGGATGACCTCCCGCTTGTGGAGCTCCTCCCCTAGCTCCTCCAGTGCCCGCCGCTGCTGCAGCACCTTTTCCATCTCCTGGTCCAGCCACTTCTTCTGTTCTTCAATCTTCTGAGGGAGTGTAGGGAAGCAGAGAGGGACCTCAATACCCACGTCTGGCTGGGGACCCCTACCCAAGGTCCGATGGAAAAAAGAGCAGATCCAACAGCAAATCCCTGGTGCACCCTGGTGACAAGCAGGATCACCCACATGCAGAGCTCATGGGGACACGGGTTCAGTCCAGCCTCACCTGCTGCTGCTCCAGGCTGACCACGGAGCCATTGCTGCCACTGCGTCTCTTTCTCTGGAAGGCTGCGATCTCTTCTGTCTTGATCTTCAGGATCTTTTGCTGCTGCTCATGCTTCAGCTCCAGTTCCTGGGGGAGAAGGTCCAATACGAAAGGAAATAAGTGTGGTGGGAAAAGGCCTGGTGGCTGTGGGTATCTCTATAGCCTCAAGTTTCCTATACACACTTGATAGTCAGAGGACAAAGCACAGTCAGAAAGCCGACAGTAACACCCAGCCAGCCAGAGCCTGACCTTGACACGGTGCTGTCGCTTGTTCATCTCTGTCTCCAGGCGTCGCTTCTGCTCAGTCTCCTCACGGAGTCGCCTCTGCAGCTGCCCCTGCTGCTGCCGCATAAGCAGCACATTCCTCTCCAGCTCCTGCAGCCTTTTCTCACTCTGGGCCGACAGTGACACCAGCCGCTCTGTCACCTGTTTTTTCTCCTTCAGCACCTGGGACCCACAGAGCATCCACTTGGTTATGCATAAGGGTTATAGGGAGCCTGAGCCTGGCATAGTGCCTGGCACTCACCAGATGGATAAATAGAGGGACACAGGGAAAGAGGAAATGGTGGGTAGATGATAGACTAATAACAGAATATTAATAATGGTAGCTACTCTGACAGTCTATTCACTGGGCACTATGCTAGGTGTTCTGTGTATATTAGCCAATCTAACACACCTGTGAAGAAGTATAACTACTATTATCCCTACTTCATAGATCAGGAAACGGAGGCACGAAGCAGCTAGGGAACTTGGTCAAGATCCCACAGCTAATAAATAGAAGAACAACAGGTTCCAGAGCCCTTATTCTTTTGTTTTCTAAAATTCTACTTATTTTTAATTTATGTATATGAGCATTTTACCTGCATATATGTAAGTACACTATGTATGTGCCTGCAGAGGCCAGAAAAAAGTGTCAAATCTCTCTGGAACTGGAATTAAGGATGGGCTTTGGCTACCATGTGGGTGCTAGGAGCTGAACCTGGGTCCTCTGGTTCAGAGTGCTCTTAACTGCTGAGCCATCACTCTAGCCCCACCACTCTACCAGATTATCTCTTAGACCTAACTGAGAAAGAAAGGAGGGGTGGATGGAAGGGTAGGTGAACAGAGAGGTAGGTTAATATCACATAAAAGTAAAAACTAGGATGGGCAGCATTTGCAGGCTGAATTGTGTCCCCCACATTCCTGACCCCCAACACTGAGGATGTAACTGTATTTAGAGATAGGACTTTTTTTTTTTTAAGATGTCATTAAGGTTAAATGAGGTCCTAAGGATAGCCCTAGCCTAGCATAACTGGCATCCTTATAAGAGAAGGAAAAGATGCCAGGAACGCAGGTGCAGAGAAAAGGCAGGTAAGCACACAAGCCAAGGGAGGCCTCAGGAGAAGCCAGACCTGTGGACATCTTGAGCTTGAGCTACCAAACTCCAGTGTGAGAAACAAGTTCTGTTGTAGAGGCACTCCCACCCCACCCCCACCAGCCTACCGCCTGTGGGAGTCTGCTACAGCAGCACTAGCAAACGAATACAAACAATGCATGAATCGATAAAGGGGATGGAAGGGGGTTGCATACACAAGTAAATGAACAATCACCTGATAGAAGGCTAAACTAGGGTTTAGGGATGGTGCTTAATCTAAGCACTTGCATTGCACATTCAAGGCCCTAGGATTCATCCCCAACACCAAAACCAAAATAAAGCTAAACTGACAAGGCTAAGTGAAGAACAAGCTGGAAAGGTGGATGCACCCACGGAGGAAGGGCTGTGTGTTGTAGATATTCTTCAGATGTCCACCTTCACCCTCTCTTGGCGTCCTACATGGCCTGCAGGCAGAACCCATCTATCTACTTCTGCTGTGTTGAAAGCTAAGCTGACCCTAGCTTATCTATGATACCAGCTAAGAAGCCAGGAGGAGTCAGTGTCACCAGCTGGAAAGGAGGATCTAAGGACACACATAGTCCATGGAGACCCACATATTCTGGTCCCAGTGACCCTAACCTGGGAGCCCCAGCACTGACCTGCACCTGGCTCTGGGCTGCAGCCACCCTCTTACGGAATTCTTGGAGCCGAGACCGTTCACTGGCATCCTGGGGCTCCCTGCCTTCCAGTTCACGCAGCTGTCTCTGGCCTTCACTTAGCTCTGCCCGCACACGCTCGGCCTCCTGCTCCAGCTCCCGGATGCGCTGGCTGTGCTGGCGGTTCAGGGCCTGAGCTGCCTTCCCTGGAAGAAAGTGGGGCCACATTGGCACAGGCAGACCCTCTCCCTGACAAAGGCCACTGCTCCTACCCTGGGAGTTTGTTTTCCCAGGCCCTGTCAGCCTGGAACATTGCATGGTTTTTGCCAAGCTCTCACACCCATCCTACATTCAGGAGTTTTACCAACATGAGTGACCCAAGTTAGCAAGTCTTAGCTTTACTTAATACATGCTAAAATCAATGTATCGTTGGAACCTGCATACATTAAACCTCTAGAACTAGCTTCAGTCTACAAGAAGTATGAAGGGCTGGGGGACAAGTTAAATAACACTAAGGAAGTAAACCAACAATCTGGGGAGGATAACTGAGGAGCTGAGAGGAGAGAGACCTCAAAGGCTTACAAAGCCAACTGAGTGTGTGCAGGGATCAGGTTTGGAGGCTGACTCAGCCAATGAGGCAAAACATTATTGAGTCACCAATAATGGAAAATATAAAAAATAAGGGAAAGTATCTAGGCTCTGGGCACTAAGAGGACATGAGTCTCTAACATGCAGAGGAGAGTCTGAGGTTCCCCCTCCCCAGCACAAAATAAAACAATCCAAGCATGATGCTGTGTGCCTGTAATTCTAATGCTTGGGAGGTAGAGGCAGAAGGATCAGGAGTTAAGTAAGGGCTAGTGTTGGCTACATAGCAAATTCAAACCTAACCTGGGCTACAGGAAATCATCTCAAACAAAGAGGTAAACAAACAAAATCAAGAAAAGACAAGAAAACAAGAACATGGCATCATGGTTGGGCAAAAAAAGGTCCAAGATTTTAAATATTTTATTTTATGTGTATGTGTGCCCAAGTATATGTATATGCACCATGTGCAGGCAGTAGCTCTGGAGACCACAAGAGGGTATTGGATCCCTTGGACCTAGAGTTATAGGCAGTTATGAGCTGCCCTGTGGGTGCAAGAGCAGTAAAAGTGCTCTTAACCACTGAGCCATCACTCCAGCCTTGGTCCAAGTTTTTAAGAGAAGAAGTAGAAAAGTGAAAGACTATGGTCTTTGCTAGGATTCACTTCAAAACACATCAGCAGCCAGGTGTGGCAGCTCACATCTTTGATCCTAGGAAAGGCAGAGGCAGACTGATATCTGTGAGGACAGCCTGATCTACACAGGGAGTTCCAGGCCTGCTGGAGCTACAGGGAGGACCTGTCTCAAAACAAAACAAAACAAAATAACACATCAGCAAAAAGAAAAGAGCACAGAGGAGATCAAAGTGGGCACTCCCAGCTAATTCTGGACAGTGGTCTCTAGACTCTATACTATATTTTTAACCATCCATTTAAAATTTTGCAAAATGAATTTGTAATAAAATCACAACTTTAAACATGTTCAAATGGGCAGGTGAAATGGTTCAGTGGGTAAAGCCTGATGACCTGAGTTTGATCCCTGGGACCTATACTGTGGACGGAGAGAACTAACTCCTACAAGTTGTTCTCTGACCTCCATGTATGGTGTATACACACACACACACACACACACACACACACACGATTTAAAAAATGTAATTTTTTAGCCAGATGTGGTGGCACATGCCTTTAATACCAGCACTCAGGAAGCAGAGGCAGGCAGATCTCTGTGAGTTCAAGGCCAGCCTGGTCTACATAGTGAGTTCCAGGACAGCTGGGGTTACAGAGAGACCCTGTCTCAAAAAGACCAAAAAAATAAAAAAATAAAAAAGTGTAATTTTTTTTTAAGTTTAAATGGTCACCGCTGAACTGTTCAAAACTGTCCCCAGTTCCTCTGTCTATTTTACCAGTATCAGAAGTGGCACAATCTGGGGATACCAGGTCTTCATCTACCTGTGTGACTAGGACTGAGAGTGACCATGCCCTGTATAATACCTCAAATATAGGAGAGTTGATAAATAAGAAATGCTGTCTACTGAGGGTGATTCTAAGCATGTCATCTGAATTAACTCATTTCCCCTCACAACCATCCTATGAAATAGGCACAGAGTCCCATTTTAGACTTGAGAAAACAGAGGCATAGAGGGTTATGATACTTGCCAGATGTCACACAGCTAGAAGAGACTGGGCTAGGCCCTGTCTGCTGAACCCTCTAAAGCAGGGTAGGAGTGACAAGCAGGAGCCATTCTCAGGAGGATGATGCTACTCACCTGTACGGACCAGCTCGCTGATGAGCTCCTCCTTCATGCGGATATTGATGGCCAGTTCCCTGATCTTCTGCTGGGCCTGGGCCAGTCGCCACTCTGAGGCCATGGCAGCTGGGGCCTGGCGGGTCTGAACTGGGGCCTTGCTGCCACCAACTGCTGTAACAGGCAGACTATCAAGGTCAACACCCTGACCGCACATGGAGGAGGCAGAGGAGTGGAGTGGAGGGGTGAGAGGAGAAGGCCTTCTTTGTAACCCACTCAGCTTACCTTGGGGTGCTGGGATGATAGCAGCTGGCTCTTCCAGGCAGAGCTCTGAGCCCTTCCTGTCAGGGGGGCTCCCTGGGCACACCCCAGATTTCTGGTTCCAGTTGCTGATACCATTTCTAGAGGGCATAAGCAGAAGTCTGTACTGATCCTCAGTCCCTGATCCAGCCCACCCACCTCTTAGGCCTGGAGGAAGAAGAAAGGCCTCTGGGTCCACCAGCCTTCAGGGTCAACCTGACCTAGGATAGGGATGAGACAGAATCCAGAGACCAGGAGTAGAGCTGAGGAGCTCTCTCAAGAAGCTGGAGGTACCAAAGGCCACCTTGGAAGCTGAGCACCAGGATACCACTCCCCGCAACCCTGGAGAAACCTTTCTATTCAGAGCCCACAGTTACCCAAGTGCTGGTGAATGAGACAAACCAGAGCACTGTGAGACCCAAGAAGTCTCCACACTACTGCTGGGAGGTTAACAAGAGTCTCTTACAGCCTAGAGCAGCCCAGAGCTGATCCTGTCAGTCCAGGCAGCAGGTCCTACTCACCTGCACAGATGCAAGGCATGCCTAGGTGGTTCCTCCTCTTCTTCCTTTTCCTCTTCCTCCTCTGAAGTAGTGGTAGAGCCACTTCCCAGCCTGTCTACCTGGGCCAGCACCCTGGCTTCTCTGCCATCTGTCACCTGCTAGGGGAGCAACAGGGATACTAGACAAGAATGCTTGAAAGGTACCCTCCAAGAGCTGTTTCCCACCTGAGGCTGTTCCTAGAGTGTGCCCTGCCCTGCACACCCTCTTCACCCCTACCTCCTCCAGCCCAGCATCACCCTCGAGATCTGTCAAGGGACATATTGGGAAGTATTCTCATCTTCAAGGTAGGATGTGAGCCTACTGGCCCTCCAGCTCCTGGTTCCCCTCAGGTGATAACCTGACCTCTTTAGTAGGCAGTTCATGTACCCCTAAGTCTTTTCTCACCACCAACACTTGCCAGAGCGATGGATCCACAATGCATTGCCCTGCAACCCATCCTCCATGACCTTGAAGCTGAGATGACCTAGAGCTCTGAAGCAGCTCAGGAGTCCATTCTGTCCTAAAGGCCCCACATGGCAGAACTACAGGCAGGAAACCAAGCCTCAGGGAGACAAATCAGCTTGAAGAAGCATGAACTTGCAAACGGAACCACTCAAAAATGGAGTGCTAAGCAAGCTTTGAGGGTATGCAAGCTTGTCATCTGGTCATCTCTAATAGCCTCACTCCAAGTAATCTCCAGCTGCCTCACAATGGCCACTGGCCCTTCTGAGAGGCCCCACAATCACCTACATCTTGGCCATTTCTCTAGGGACACCTGAAATAGGCACCTTATATCTCACAGCTAGTCCCAGGGAGACACGAATGAGGGCCACGTACCCTAGCCTTGCCCTGCCCTTACCCCAAGCCTCACTATCTCCTCACCTGCTCAGAGCCAACATCATCTCCAGGAAAGCAGACAGGGGGCACCATGCCCAGCATATGAGTGTAGGTACCCCCTAGGGGGGCTGTGTGGGGTCGAGGCACAAAAGATCCCGGAAGCAGGCCTTGCAGGAGTTCTGGAGCCTCCCAGCCAGGCCATGCCAGTTCTAGTTGAAGCCGCAGCTCCACCATCTCTTCCTGCTGTTCCCGAAGCCGGTCACTCTGCAAGACATGGTCCAGGTGCTGATAGGAGCATGGATGCCAAGGACAGAGATGTTCACTGACCAGCATCAGTACAAGAAAGTGAAGAATAGATCTGATAACATCCCATCCTCTAGGATGAAACTGAGGAAGTTCAGGACCCCTCTTGGTTCCTTCCTGTTCCACTAACACACTGCACTGGTTCTGATTCCAGCTCTCATCCTATCCTGAACAATGTTCAGTCATCACATCCCCACCATGCCAGCATGCCACCCCCAATCTGCTACCACCAGAAAGCGCCAAGTGATGTTGACATGGTCAGCAGCTCCAGCTTCCAGGTGGCATCTTGCTACCCTCAGGATCCAGCTCTATTCAAATGTTCATCCATGCAAAGGGGCCTGGCTCGGCTCTTTCTCTCTTTCTCTCTCTCTCTCTCTCTCTCTCTCTCTCTCTCTCTCTCTCCCCATCCCCGTTCTGCCCATCATCTCCATACTTCTATTCAGACTGCACCTCACTCTCTACAGTGCCCTCCACCAGCCATCCTGGCCCCAATTCCCCATTTCAACTAACTCCCATGCCAGGAAACTCAGCTCAGACTTCCCTTTCCCCCTCCAGGAAACCTTCCTGCTCCGTAGAAGGGGAGGACCTACCTGCAGTTTGTACTGCTCCATTGCATCCTCCAATGCCGCCAAAAAATCTCTGTTCTCCTCTTCCAGCCGGGCCACCTGGCTCTGCAGGATCAGCAGCTGTTGAGCTCCCTCATCTTCCTTTGGGACAAGGAGAAAGGCTTTAGGGATGGGGCCTGGCAAGGCGCTGGGACAACCCAGCCCTTTCTCTGCCCTGCCACCAGCTCACCTAGCCCGGCTCCCCAGTCTGTTCCAAGGTCTGCCTTGCATTGGGTGCTACTGGGCCCACCTAAACCTTAGCTTCCTTCTGCAAGCCATTTGGGCCATCTCCTGTCATTATTAATAATGCTATAAAGCTTTTATTTATCATTATTATTTTAGTTTTGGTTCAGTGTCTCACTGTGCAGCCCAGACTAGACTGGAATTCATGATCTTCCTGCCTCCACTTTCAGAGTCCTGGAATTTGTGACCGCTACTCCCAAAAATCATATTTTTATTGAAATTACTCATAAGAACAACTTGGCCTTTGCTGGTGTGCTTGTCATTTGTTACATCTTCTGACCTTACAATATCCCTATTGTAAAGACCCAGAAGCTCGGCGAAGTTAAGAAAGTGGCTGCAGTTCTAAGTGCCTCCGAAGTCCAAATGTATTCTGCTATCAAGAAAGAGGCAAAGCTGGCTGGCTGAAGATCCTCTTCCCACTGACCCCTACCCCAGGGCCCACCCCAGGGCCACCTTTCTCCCGCCGGTCCCCTGTGCTGCCTGGTCCTCTGCGGAGGTGCTCTCGATGCCGCTGTCCGGCCCGGAGGCGGAGCTCAGGGCGCTGCGTTCGCCCTCCACCGCGCACAGCCAGTCCCGCACCTTGCGGGCGGCGGCTCCAGCCAGACCCGGCTCGGCCTGCAGTTCTCGAAGGAGGCTGTAGGCGGCGCTAGTGCGCGCCCGGCAGCGCGCGCACTCGGCGCCCAGACCGGCTGCAGTCCCCACGGGGCCGGGCGCGCGCCGGCCGCGGTGGATGATGCGCGTTTCCGAGCGGTGCCGCGGCGGCCCGCGCGTGCCCGCCGCCGTCTCCTCGGGTGCGCGCTCGGCCTCGGGCCGCCAGTTGACCGTGACTCGGTTGCGGATGTTCTGGGCGCGGCTGGCTCGGTTGCGGATGTTCTGGGCGCGGCTGGCGTAGTTGAGGGTGTTGAGGGTCTCATCAAAGTCAGAGGAGGAGGGGCTGACGCAGGCGATCATCACCGTCTTGGCATTCCCACCCAGGGAGTCTTTGAGGATCCTGCGGGCACGAGGGTGACAAGAGTCAGGGGCTAGAGACGGATCACACCGAGTGACTCCCGGGCGCGGCACTGGGTGTGGTGACCCGGGACCCCGCAGGCCGAGGGCAAAGCCACCCTTCCGCGGGCTCCCAGCCCCAACTCCAGGCCAGAGGGAGGGGAGGTCCCGCTCACCGGGTGATCTTGGAGTCGCGGTAGGGGATGTGGCTGCCACGGCGTTGGGGATCCCCCAGCGCACTAATGACATTGCCCAGCGCCAGCAGACTGCTGTTAATCTGGATGCTCTCCTTGAGCCGTTCGCCCGTGCTGCCTGTCTTGAGGACTCTCTCAGAGCCTGCCAAGTCCACAAAGTGGAACTTGGAGACCAGCAGGTGGCCGGGGGCCGGTCGAGGCAGGCGGCTGGGCGCTCGTCCCCGCTGCTCCAGGGTCACCGTGAAGACCGTGTGTGAGCGGCTGGAGAGGCGGTTGAAGTGCGTGGCGCCTGTGTGCCGAGCCGCGTTGCCCATCTCCAGGAGACTGAGAACCTCGTCCAGACCCTCCACGTCCACTTCCTTCACACCACAAAGCACTGTGGGTACAGAAGACTGTGAATATCTTTGCCACAGACAGCCTGGGACTGACAGCCAGATGGTAAGCAAAACAGTCAAGGCCCTCACCTGCTCTTCCTCAACCAGAGGCAACCCCCACCACCCCAATGCCCAAGGTTCCAGCTTCCCCATGCCCACCTTAATGCATCTCATTCTGGACAGGAATATACTGAACTCATTGGAGACAGGAAACAAAGCCCTCCAGGGCCTGGGTTTCCCTTGAGGAGTGTCTTTCCCAGACAGGCAAGCCACCCCATCCTCAGAACTGACAGACTCTTCAAGCTTCAGGCCTCACTCCCAGTCAGTAGAGGACCCCAAGATTCCTCACCAACATTCCCACGATCATCTTCCCGGAGCTGGATATCCCGACTGGCAGTGCCCACTTCTAGCAGGTCTCGGAACTCTTCTTTGTACACTTCCAGGTAGGACACATGCACCAAGCAGTCCAGTAGGTCATTCTCGTCAATGAGCTTGAAGGCCTCAGCCATAGCCCTCGGGATGATGCCCTGCTCATCCTCATGCAAGGAGGCTGGGGAGACACCACAGAGTTTCCTGCTGCCATGCCTCCAGCTGGATCCTAGGCCCCCAACGAGCAGCTGGAGAATGGGGCTCCCACATAAAGAAGACAGTGGCAGAGGTTAGGAAGGGAGGGGCAGCCTGAGCAAGGTCATGAACCAGGACTGTCAAGCAGAATTAAAGAATTCAAGCCTTGGAAGCAACCTCTCATGGTTTAATCAACTCCTTTCGTGATGTAAGCACCTCTTTCACTACATTCCCAACAGACTATCAGATACCCTTTGCTTGATTACTCCCTGGGATGGTTAATTCACTACCATGATTCATGCACAGCTAACTCAAGAGCCTCTTAAATTTACTTCAAGGAAGCAATCAGAATGTTCATCCTAAGATCCAGTAGGAGGTCTGATTAAACAAATTCACAGCAGAATGCAGTTACTAAATAAAAAGTGGATTGAAGGGCTAGGGGTTTTGCTTAATGCTAAAGCACTTGCCTAGCATGTGTGAGACTCTGAGTTCAATACACACACACTAGATTGAAAATATTTAATGATGTTCATCATACCTGCACATCTTTGTGTGTGTGTGTGTGTGTGTGTGTGTGTGTGTGTGTGTGTGTAGTGTTAAGGATCAAAACCCCCCAGCCCTATGACATATTTAAAAAAATGAAACAACGTAAAAAAGAATGAGTATAAAATTTTTTTTTTGTTTTGTTTTTGTTTGGAGACAGGGTTTCCCTGTAGCCCTAGCTGGCTTAGAACCTGCTATGTAGACCAGGCTGGCCTTGATCTCATAGAGATCTGCTTGCCTCTGCCTCCAGAGTGTTAGGATTAAAGGCATGTGCTGCCACACCCAGCAATAATTTCATTTTTACAGTATAACCATTTTCGCAGAGAAACAAGCATGTTCACAGAATAAACAATTTCTAAAAGGCAGTTATCAAATACATTATTTTGTGCATGTATTTTTCTGCATTTTCCTAATTTTTGATAATGAGATGGCTTGTAACTGCCATGTCTGTGTATGTCTCCCCCAAACCCATGTGTTAGAATCCTTACCTATACTATGATAGTATTGGGGAGTAGGTCATGGGTCTGAGCCCTCATAAACAGAATTAGTGCCCTTTAAAAAAAAAAAAAAAAAAAAAACAGCCTGAACCAGGCATGGTGGTGCATGTCTGTAATCCCAGCACTCAGGAAACCTGAGGCAGTGAATAGAAAGTTTGAGGTCAGCCTGGACCACACAGTGAATTCTAGTCCAGCCTAAGATACAAGACCATGCCACAAAAACAAAACAAAAGTCACAGCCATGTAAGGTTTGGTGGAAACTATTGCCCTTGCCTTGATCTGGATGTCAAAGCCTCCAGAGTGTTGAGAAATCAATTTCTGCTTACAGTCACCTGGAACAGTGTTCTGCTATAGCAGTGCTGATGCACTAAAACAGTGACTAAGACAAAACAGTTCGTGTTATTTAAAAAGGGAAATTCCTTTTATTGGAATTTGCCAGGAGAGTCCTCCCGAGAGAGAGGCTCCAACTGGAACACAGATTCCTGATCCTGGGTAACATCCTGACAACCTTGAGATATGCCAACTTGCCTTCCTTTGCTTTGGTTCCAAAACCAGGCAATGTAGCCTATCTTGTCTCATCTTGAGAAAATCACTCACCCACAACAACCCTTCCTTCTTGCCTTTCCAAGCCCACAGACATGATTGGTCCCCCACTGGGCTTCAGATCTCTAGGAAATCTTCATTCCCTCCTCAGCATCCTCCCCTTCAACAGGGAGGGCAGGTGCAGAAATTCAGAAAGACCTTGAGCTGTCCCTCAAAGTGGGCAGAGGGCCACAAGCAGGGTCACTCACCCACACTGGCCTCCCCCATGGTATATGTCTTCCCAGAGCCTGTCTGACCATAGGCAAAGACAGTGGCATTGAAGCCTTCAAAGAAAGCCTCCAAGAGAGGGTGCACACAGGCCTGGTACACTGTCTCCTGCCCGGTGTCCTCTCCCAGCACCACATGGAAGCCAAAGTGGCGGTCACGCCCCAGGGTGACTTGACCATGCTCCGGCTCCACGCGCAGGCAACTCTGATGTCCATGTAGCAGCTCTTTGGGCAGCAGTGGGCGAACTCGCAGGGCCACCTTCATTGGGGCCTCCTCAGCCCCTGGCAGTCTCTGGGCCTCCAGCCCCATGTTGAAGAGGGCAGCTCCAGGATCTGCAGAGAAAAGGAAAAAACCCTTGCCATCAGTACCTGTACTATAGGGGCCAGATTCACCCTGCAGGTGACAGGGAGCCAGAACACACAGCTCTTAACTTCAGAGGGATTGGGGGAAGGATAGTCAAAGTTCAGAGCATCTGCCCAGCCTGATCCCCAACTACTGCCCAAACCAGGATATCATTTTGCACAGTAACATCACTTGACTCCCACCACTAGCAAATAAGGCCCCACCCACTTGATACCCCAGGCTTCTTGTTCCAGCTACCCCCTTCCCCTGACCTCATCTAGAACCACACACAGAGCACCACACCAGGGAACTGCTTTCCCTACACCCACTAGGCTCCTCACAGTATCTGTCATTTCCTATCACTGAAACTACTCACCACCTACCCATTTTCTTCAAAAAAGCCAACAAATCCTTCAAACTCCTACCATTAAGTTCTGCCAGTTCTATTAAATACCTCTCAAGATCATCTGCTGCTTCCTATCTTGTTGCCAAACCAGTCTTGCTAGTGACATCTTGAAAAGGTAACTTTTGCCAGTTTTCTTTCTGGGTCTCAGTCTCCCTGCACTCGCCAACCCAGCAGCCAAGGGGCATCTTTCAAAAAATGAAAATGCTATTAAAATGTTGTCCTATTTACACCCACCACCACCACCAAAAATATTAGCGCAGGCTCTCTGCCTCCCCATCTCCTGGACACAAGTGCCTTTCCTCACCTCTGTCCAGCAACCTCCATGTTATCAAAGCATCTTTACCCTTCCTGTACTTAAGCTGGCCCACCTTTTCACAAGACCAGGGAAGCTTCTGTGCTCAGTACACCCTGCCACCACCACCACTACCACAGGCAGCCCCTGTGCTGGCCCCATCAGACACTGACCACCTAGAGGCCAGGTTCACCTACCAGACTCCGAGATGGAAGACAAGGACCCTTTTGTCCACTTTAAACTCTATTACCAGCGCCCAGCATAAGGTACAATACTAACTAGTCAGTAAAGAGTGATGATGGTTCAAGCCCTATCCTCCCTCCTCAGCACAGTCCCCAGTCCGCAGCTCCGCACACACTAGTATGTTAGCATTTACTGTCTAGCTAACTCTCTGCCTGCAACCGCTCCTTCATTCGGTCCCTTTGAGGAGCCGGACTCTGGGCACACAGCAGTAACTGCCTCGCAATACTGAGTGGTCCTCTAAACAGTCTTCCAATCCCCCAGGTAGACTCTCGAGCCCTGTGTGACCCCGGCTTCTCCATCACCTTTACCAATGTTCCGAGCCCCACAGGCGCCCTGACTCCACCCGCGAGATGGGGTGCTGGGGGCGGCGGGGCCCAGGACAGGCCCTCCCGGAAAGTTTGCAGAAGTGATTACAAACGTGGAACGGATCCTCGCAGCCTGCTCCTCCAGGCCAGGCCTGCCCAGGGAGGCGCTCCCAGCAGACTGGGGAGCATCGACTGGGGGCTGCTCCGGCGCCTCCCCAATGCGCTCCACTCGAGCCGGACCCCCACCCACCTGCCAGTGAGAAAGCTCAGTCCCAAGCAGTACAGTCAGGCTCCTCGCCCCGACCGCACGGCGCGATCCTATGCCGTCATCCGGACCCCCGCCCCCAGACATCCCTCCCTTCACCCGCAACTCCGCCTGCCCTGCGCTCAGGGGCGGAGGCGGGAGTCCGGCGGCGCCGGGGAGTCCGCCCGCAGACAGGCTGGGATGGGACCTCAGCATTCTGGAGGGGGCGGGCCTGTGCCCGAGGGGGCGGGCTTTGGAATGCCGCAGCATCTCCTCAGGTACTAGAAGTCTTCAAAATGGACCGCAGTCATCTGTCCTCCACTCAAAGGCCCACTTCTGCTTTCTGCTGCCAGGGCCAAGCCATCCTCTTTGGGACGGGAGCGGGGGAAGCCACAGATACCTTCCAACGCCCCACATTAAGAAATATATTCTGGCTGGAGAGATGGCTCAGCGGTTAAGAGCACTGACTGCAGAGGACCCGGGTTCGATTCCCAGCACCCATACGGCGGCTATGAACCGTCCTTAACTCGAGTTCCAGGGGAATCCGAAGCCCTCTTCTGACCTCTGCGGCATCGCACGACACGGGTGCACTCACATACATTCAGGCAACACACTCATACACATAAAAAATAAAATATTTAAAAAAATATTCCTTCAATTCTAATTTTGTTACATCTTGGGGTTTCAGAAATTGATTTGCATTTTACAGTTACTGTCCACGGAAGCTGTCAGTAGGAGAGGTGTCCAGCTCCGTGACCCCTGAGAGATTGTTTCCACTGGGAAAACATGGTTGTTTTTTGCATGGTTGATAATCAAAACATGGAGCCAGAGCCAGGCATGGTGGCACATACCTGCAATCTTAGCACTCAGGATCCTGAGACAGGAAGGCAGCGGTGAGTTTAAAGCCAGCCTGGGCTACAGAGTAGACCTTGTCTCAAAACAAACACAAAACTAAAAATTTGGAAACTGGGCTGGGGGCTCACTGGTAAGAGCACTTTCCTAACATGAGGGAGATCCGGGATTCCATTCCAAATACCACAAACAGCCACCACCACCTTGGGTCACATATTTATTACTTAAAACACCACTAGAGAAATTGAACTCTAATATAGTAGCACAATTTAGTATGTATACAGATGATTGCCTGTTATAATGGGCAGCTTAATGAAAGGTTACAGAAATTGCCACCTCTCTCCAGAGAGATCTATATTAGGAAATCTTCAGCCTCCAGTAATAGAAAACATAGACTGAAATGACGGGAATAAATAAGACCATGTGTTGTCTCACACTTAAGATGAGTAGAGGAGAGAGGAGGGGTTACTGGCAGGTTGACTCAGGGGCAACAGTGCCAAGGACCTGCTCTTCCTCCTCCACTGTCTGTTATCATCTACAGACACAAAGACACCGAGATAAAGAAGGGGGGCACCATGTGGTGTGGAGTGCTCTTCAGATCAAGACATTTGCCCCTATGTTCTGCTTCCTTCATATCACATATGTCACATGGCTAAGTCTGTTAATCACTGAACTAATCACCCACAAGGTGATAGCAATCCTATGGTTGGCTTGTGGGCCTTAGGAGATGGCTCGGCTAGGGAAAAGCCATCCAAGCGACATCCTGGAACTTCCAAATAGGATCAGGTAGCCAGCTGATTCTGTGTATGATGGACCATCATGTAAGAGTCCAGTTTTCTGTTAGATGTGCAGAAGCTGCCAGAAGCTGTGGCACCTCCTATAGTATACAATTCAAGATTCAAGCAGCTGGGAAATACAGATGCAACTTGAGTGTTCTCTGACATGCCGTGGAATTACACTGTTGGTCCCAAACATTCTAAATGAGTTGGAAAGCTGAACAGGAATGGCACAGAGCAACCTACTACCATGACAACCTAAGCGATTTATTTAGACTCTGAATGTAAAGAAGCCAGATGCTAAACCTGCATAAACATAATAAAAGGTGATAGTGGTTGATGAAACATCACATTTCAGAGGAGTTATAATAACAATTATGTAAATTATAGAGAAAGTAAAATTAAAGCCGTTAATGTTACAGTACAATTTTAAAAGAATTCTGTGGTGCTAGAGTTCATTGGAGCTACCAAAGTGAATTCATGACTTTACAAAGAAGTATCCTTTTCCTAGTCCTTACCAGCAGATAGGTTATGATTTCATGTCTACTGCCAATACCAACATGGAACAATCTAGTACACGTATCCTAGTGTCTAAATTTTAGTCTTTATCACTATTCTCAATTCAAAGTAAATGGTTCCACATATTAGGTTAAGAACTGAAATAATTTTTTATAGTCAGTAAATTCAGATACTGCCAGGTGTGGTGGTGTATGTCTGTAATCCCAGAACTGGGAAGGTGGAGGTAGGTGGATCAGGAGTTTGAGGGCACTTTGCTATGCACAAGTTTGAGGCCATCCTGGGTCTCATGAGACTGTGGGAAGAAAGGAGGAAAGAAGAAAGAAATGGAGGGTGGAGGGAGGGAGGAACCCAGGATAGAAAGAGAAAGAAAGAAAGAAAGAAAGAAAGAAAGAGAGGGAGGGAGGGAGGGAGGGAGGAAGAAAGAGAAAAAGAAAAGATAGGAGGCAAGAAAGGGGAAGGGGAGGGAAGAGGGAGAGGAAGATGAAGGGAAGGGGAAGGGAGAGGGAGAGGGAAGGGAGGGAAGAAAGAAGGAAGGAAGGGAGGGAGGGAGGAAGAAAGAGAAAAAGAAAAGATAGGAGGCAAGAAAGGGAAAGGGGAGGGAAGAGGAAGAGGAAGATGAAGGGAAGGGGAAGGGAGAGGGAAGGGAGGGAAGAAAGAAGGCGGGGAGGGAGGGAAGGGAGGGGAAGGAAGGGAGGAAGAAGGAAGGAAGAAGGAAGGGAGGGAAGAAAGAAGGAAGGGAGGGAGGGAGGGAGGAAGGAAGGAAGGAAGGAAGGAAGGAAGGAAGGAAGGAAAGAAGGAAGAAAAGAAGGAAGGAAAGAAGGAAGGAAGGGACAATTCAGATGCTTTAAAAGTTGCTATGGGTCTAAAAGATCATAAGGGTATGGCAAGCTGATTTTATTATGTATACAGAAAAGCAAAGTACCAGAAATAGCAAAGACACTCCTGCAAATGGGCAGTGTGGGGGTGCCCAAGCAGACATAAAAACCTATCTGGAACTACTGTTAATGCCAGAGGAATAGACTAACAGAATGCATGTTTGGAAGCTAGACTTATGCTACAATGCTGATCCATGTCAGAAAGTCAGGCTACTAGAGACATCAAGCAGAACCTAGTCTTTGACTCCAACTAAGCTTCAAACAATAGGTCAGAAACTTCCTATTGATTTCAAAAAACGCTTAAATCTCCTGCAGTATTCAGTTAAGTATGAAGCAATTGGGAAATATATAACCCCCAATCAGTTTTCCATATAGATGGAAAAATTGAATCCCTGCTTAAATAATATAAAAAATCAAATATAGAAAACAAAACTATGAAAAAATTAGATGAAATCATAAATAACAAAAGAAATTCACATGCCAAAATCACAAGGAAAGAATAATAAAATTGAAAGCTGAAGCACTATGTCCCCGCCAAACTCCATCAATCCTGTAGAAGAGTTCTACAAGGAGAACCCCCTAGAGATAAGTCAGGACACTGAATTTAAAAGAACAGTCATAAACATGATCAAGGAATTCAACAAATTTAAAGAACACACAAACAAATCAAAGACCTAAAAGAAGATAGGGATAAACTTCTGAATAAATTCACAAAAGAGATAGAAACATTGAAGAAAACTCAGGCAGAAATGAAGAAAGAAGCA